CCTACTGAGCCATCTCCCCGGCCCCAACACCCAGGATCTTGCTTGCATTGCCTGCCATACCTAGAGGGTGGTTGGTGAGGGAGGGCACGCTGGTGGCTGTGAGGGTCAGTCCCTTCTCTTCGCTGTCTTCCACGGGGCTCAGCAAAAAGCGAATACGTTGTTTTGGAGGAGGTGGCTTGAAGTCATTGAGACCTGAATACAAAAGTAAAGAGTATCTTTTAGTTAATAAAGACCTGGTGGGGGGAAACGGTGACATAGCTCGGCGGCACTGACACCAAAATAGTGAGATAGATAAAGACCCTTGGGCTCAACTCCTGCCTCTCCAAGTGAACCGTGTGATAAGGACAATACTGAATCAGTTTCCCATCTGTAAGCAGGGAATAAATGAGGTATGATAAAGGATACAGAACAGACAGTTAAGAAAGCAATCGGCCCAAGCGAACAGGTCACATGACTACGATGCTGGAAGGGGCAGAATCAGGGACTGTCAGGACGCGTGGCGCTCGGGTACTCACCTTTCAGAAGCTGCATCTCTACCGTGTCCCGCAGGTGCAGCCATTTCAGCCCCGGGGGCTTATACACCGCGAACAGCCCGTGCAGCCGTGCCAGGCCAGCAGACCCCATTCTCTCAATCCGTGGGCCCGGCCAAAGACACCGAGATGGGAACGGAAGTGCCACCCGGTCCGGCTCCAAATGTGCTCCTTACAATGGAAAGCACAAGGTTCCGCAGCCGGAAAAGGTTCTCACCTTCTTGTCCTCGGGGGAAACGTGACTGTGGGAAGGAAATAGGGTCCGGGATTAAGCCGCAGAGCTAGCGGGGGTTACAGCGCCTCTGGAGCCTCCGTTTGGGGTTTAGGGAAATAGAGACCGTTTTATATCGGTGGAAACAGGCAGCAGACTGGTCATGTGTGTTTCCTTCTCATATTTAGCCGTAGTGCCCTTTCTTGCCCAGACTACGTTTTCCCGTCATAGACAGTAGCGCAGCAGTCGGGATCGACTCTTCTTGACCTCTCTGGCGCTCCGTCTGGAGGAACTAGGGAACGTCAGTTTTGCCCCGCCCACGCCCGGGCAGAAGTCCGCTGCCATGGCGACACTGCTGCTCCGGTTCCTGCGTCCCTCCTGGCGACTCCCGGGTGGTTCCTCGCCTGTTGCGGGCAAGTGGCACTGCGTTCCAGTATTAGGTGGGAATAACACGCGGGCGCTGGCTGGGCTTCTCTGATCTCTCTGTCTTACCTCGCAGATGTACCCTTCCGGGCCGGGATCCATGGCACCAACCTGTTGTACCCGGACCATATTCCCACCTCCCCGCTGCAGAAGGCGCTGCTAGCCGCCGGCTCGGCTGGAATGGCGCTCTACGACCCGTATCGCCACGGTAAGACCTGCGAGCTCGGCCCTTCCGCTCCGGCAGTGAGGAATTGGTTGCCCTAGGCTTGGAACCGTGGGCGGGTCATGACCTCTTCAAAGCATCCGTTTTCTATTGGTTGCCAAGCGGGGATGCCCAAAGCTGACTGTATCTCCTTATCGTCCAAGAACTTTTATAAAAACCTCCTGCCTGGCTCCCACCTAAATTCACTGAATCTGATCTATCGGACAGAGAAAGGTGTCGTGGAATCTGAACGTCTGGCTTTGTAACTTCTTCGCGGGAGATTCTGTCATCCAGCCGTATGGAGAACCTTTGGATCCAGTAGACAATTGTACTCCTGGGAACTGAACCAAGGGCATTGTGCTTGGAAGGAAGCGCTCGCTACTGAGCTATATCCTCTTTTTATTTTGAGACCAAGTCTTGCTGATTTACAGTCCCACTTTACCTCAGCCTCCTAGGGGCCTGGGGTGACAGTCATATGCCACCAGACCTAGCTTCCAAATTTTTTTTTTTTTGTGGAACCGCAGGCTCTTGTGTTTGCCAGGGAAGCGCTTAATCCACTAAACCATCTCCCCGGCCCCTCTCCTGAGCCATCTCCCTGGCCCCTTAAATTAATTAATTTATTAATTAATT